TTAATTTTTTTTAGCTGACATAAATTATGTTAAGTTTCCTGGGAACACAGTTAATAAAAGTTTCTGAGACAAATGTATCAAAGGTTTTTTTAAGTTTCTCTTTAAAAGATGAAATTGAGATGGAGTCTCGTACAGTGCTATCAAGTGCATTCCATTTTACCATTGTAGAAGGGAAGAAGCTATTCATATAAGTAGTAGTTCTTGTCTGTGGTATATTAAAGAATCTGTTATTTCTGAAGGTATAGTTATTATTTACATTTAGAAATGGTTGAATGATATTATCGAGATAAGTTGGAGTGTAATTATTAAGAATCTTATACATTAATGTTAGTTTATGATTTTGTCTTCGTGTGTGTAATGTTTCAAGTTGTGTTTCAGTATACAGAATATGATGAGATGTACCTCGTCTGAGGCCAGTAATTAAACGCATAGCTTCTAGTTGAACTGATTCTAAAAGATCTGATTCCGATTTGGTACAATTATCCCATACTATATCAGAATATTCTAGCACAGGTCTTATATAAGAGACATATAATGTTTTTAATGTATTCCTATCAACTGTAGTTTTTAAAATTCTAAGAATACTTAGTCTAGAGTTCGCTTTCTTATAAATATTTGAAATGTGATCTGACCATGTCCCTTTACTGTTAAATGTTAGTCCTAAGTGAGTATGGTGTTCATGTTGTGCAATTGGAGTATTGTTAAATAGCAGTTGAGGATGATTGTTAATGTGTCTACGAGAGAAGTTAATAGCTACAGTCTTATTCGGATTGAATAGGATCTGCCATCGCTTTGACCATTCAGAGATTGAGTCAAGATCATCATTAAGCATGTTAGTAGGTGTTGTAAGGTCATTGTTATTATTTACTATTACATAGAGAGAGGTATCATCTGCAAAGAGTTTTATATGAGAAGTTACATTATTAGTAATATCATTAATAAAAAGAAGAAAGAGGAAGGGACCAAGGACAGATCCTTGAGGAACCCCTGCAGACATAGGTTTGGTACTAGATTTATAACCTTCAAAGATAACCCTTTGTTTTCTGTCAGATAAGTAAGCTTTAAACCAATTATATAATTTACCTTTAATACCATATGTTTTTAGTTTATATAATAGGCCCAAATGCCATACTCGATCAAATGCTTTACTTATGTCACAGAAAACAAAACGCAAATCTTTACCTTGGTCTAAATTGCCACTTATAGTATTATAGATATCAGCTAGTTGATTAGTAGTGGAGTCTTTGGGTTGAAATCCTGACTGATGTACACTTAACATATTGTGACTTGAAATATAATTAAACGTATATTTAAAAATATTTTTTTCTAACATTTTGATAAAAATAGATGTAATAGCAATAGGTCTATAATTATTGAGATCACTGATATCTCCTTTANGTTCCCCACATGGAAACCCCCCAGGAAATTTGGAAACCCCCCCAAATATGTCTCTGAATCCGCCACTGTATCTTGTTCAGTTATGTTAATATTAGAAAGTTCAAATGGACATAAGGGAGGTAAATCAGGTAGGTTAGTGTCAGTAATATCAGAGGCAATGGTGGTAAAGAAGTTATTTAGTGCTTCAGCTTTATCTTGTGGACGGATTAATATTTCATTGTTAGATTTTAGAGGATAAGAATTAGTGCTAGTGTTATTCATTTTTCCTATAGATTTTGCTATCTGCCACCATTTTCTTGGATGCACTGTTTTGTCAGCAAGACAATTTTGAAGTTTCTTAAAGTAATTTTCTTTGGATTGCCGAATAAGTGTTATAGTGTCATTGCGACAAGTTCTAAATTTTGCCCAATCTTGTTCCCTGTTTCTATTTTTAGCTATTCTATGTAATCTATTCTTATATCTTAATTTATGCCGAATTTCACCAGTCATCCAAGGTTTGTCATCAGGATGGACAGTAATTGTTTTATGAGGTATATGGGAGTTAGTAGCAGAGCTTATTTTGTTTATAACAGTAGAATATATTTCATTAATGCTAGTAGTGTTATTAACTATGGAATCCCAATCATTACTAAGTAGTTCATTATTAATAACATCCCAATTAGCTTCATTGAACTTATATATAGGTTTCTTGAATGGTTTATTTTTCAGTGTTTTAAAACAAATGTTAGCAAGGATGGGGCAGTGATCACTACAGAGAGGGGAAAGTACTTGTGTCGAGGTAAAAATGTTCACATTATTAGTAATAAATTCATCAATTAAGGTAGCAGTAGTGTTTCTTATGCGTGTTGGTGATGAAGTTTTTTAAGTGATATTTAGTAATTAATCTTACAAGATGTGAATTAGGTTTCATTGTGATAAAGTCAATATTTATGTCACCAGTGATAATGATATTAAGATGAGTATTAGAAAGATTATCCAAAATGTTATCAAGTTTATTCCAGTAATCTATTTTTGTATTAGGAGGTCTATAAAGGCAGCAGCGAAGTATTTTTTTGTTAGAAGTGTTAATTTCTAGGATGACAAGTTCTATGTCTTCAGTTTCAAGATCAGTTCTGTGACTTATTAAGAGGTTGTTTTTAGTATATAACATAATACCACCACCGTGTTGTGATTGGCTGTCTCTACGATATGAGTTGGGATGTGATTTAATTTGCAAATCAGATTCAGTTATTTCATTATTCAGGTGAGTTTCAGTAAGACATAAGATGTCATAGTCAGTGAATTCAGTAACTATAAGATCAACCTTGTTCCGAAGAGACCTAACATTTAAGTGCATTATTGATAAATCATTTTAGTAGTTTCTTTGATTAATACTGATTGATGAGGGACCAGGATTAGAGTGAATATTTCCAGACATCAGAAGTAGTAGTTTTATAACAAACAGACTGTATATAATATCTTGAGTATACATGTAGTGAGATCATATTGGTATTACAGGCAGTTATAGAGGAAGATCTATAACATAGCTTACAATCACACACAAACATACTTACATCCTAACCCACCAAAAAAAAAAAATTATGCAGAGACTTGAGGAAAGAAATAACAGTAGGGACTAATGAAAAATAATATTCTCAGAATTTGGAAAACATCAATTTGATATTTTAAATATAAATTTCATAGGGAGTGGTATACTGAACTTAAGTATTATCAACACAATTAATAACAGTAGGTTCCTGAATTCAGTGTAACATGTTCAACTATAACTCAGTGTAAAATTATAAAAATTTCAATTGAAGCAGATAAATAAATTAATCATTTTAAATACATATATACAAATATTTATATATATATATTTAAGATTTATTCATATACTAGTAAACTATAGTTACAAGTATAAGAAGAAAAATAATGAATAGTTACAGATTATCAGTGGTGTAAGGGAGATAACCTATTCAGAAAGTAATCTGTACATATATAAATAATGCTATTAGTGAGCAATAGTTGGCTGAACTTCAAGAAATAAAGCAAATATTATAAGTATACGGTAGGTTCCATTATCACAATTAAGACGAAAAGATTTATTTGTAAATATAAGTATCCAATGACAAATATAACATGGAGTTAAATACCTTAAGAAAAACCGAGAAAAACAAAAAGATTTATCATAAGCAGACACAACGATCATAACAAATAGCACATCAACATGAAAAAAGAATCAATAATTAAGTAGATAATAAAATTAAAAAATAAAATGTAAGAACACAAGCAAGACACGAAAAATTAAGCAAATAAAGATGCACAAGCAAATTGAAATATTGGTTGCTAATATTATGTATTCACTGTATATAGTATACCATACATGTATATAGAGTATATATAGAGCAAAATAGTTAAGTGGCTGGCTTGCAAGTTATTAGTCAAGCATAAAGATTATTCAAAGGCAATTACATGTAATGATGCCAGACATGAATAATTAAATCAACTATGCAAAATAAAAGATTGATTACATATGTTACAAATATTATATAATATATTACATGGATTAGGTTTCAAACCATAGACCATAGGCAGATGCAGGGGGGGGGAGGGTCCAGAGGGTCCGGACCCCCCNTTTTTTACCACCGATTTTTTTATTTATTTTTTACTTTAAAAACTTACGCCTAAAATTGTCGCCTCGCTTCGCTCGGCCATATATTTACTTACCACCGTAAATATATTTACCAATAATATGAGACTACTGGTGTAGGGTCAGTACCAATGTTAATCTTATCAAACCCTATACCTAGTACAGATGCTTGTTTCTATATCATACTCTATGGAAATCATAATGTACAATTCTATTTTTGATTTGTATTCATTTGATATGCTTAAACACGGAAATATTTGGAACAATAGCAAGACACAGGGAGGGAACATGAATGTTTTAACCTGACAGTTGACAGCCAGACACAGATGTATTGGGGGGAGGGGGTAGCTGCCGTACGCATCCCATCCCCTATCCCATCCCCCTAAAACCTCACCAAATTAACTTGAACTGTCTACTATAACCTCTCAACAGACACACACACATGGTGAACGTCTGGTCATAAACTTACTACGATTCTCGGTAAATTCTTGATAAAAACACGTCATATGAATAAGACTAAAAACGAGAAACAACTGTAAATGTTCACTTCATTGACAACGATTTTAAGATATGTTGTGTAATTGTTAAAGCATGTTGAAGATAGTTTGGTATGAGATGTATTTTGTTAAAAAAAAAAGAAGTATGGAAGCCCATCATTGCCAATATTAATCATTGATAACACATCATAGTAGCCTATTCCTTTATGCTATATTCCAGTTTATTATTAACTTTAAATTTTAATATTGTCTTGATATAGCATGGGGCCTAAAAAAAGGCAGAATCCTGAACGGCCACACTTTTGGTGTTTGGTATCACAAAAAAAGCCAAGAAAAGCACCAATGAAAATGAAGGTACACCATGTACAACTGAAGCGATCGTTCTGTGCGGGAAGCAAAATTTGCCATTAAAAGGCCACAGAGATGACCGCACCAGCACATCATCAAATAAAGGGAACTTTCTGGCTATTTTAGAAATGCAGGCAAAGCATGACGATGTCCTCCAACAACACCTGGCGAGAGTAAAGAAAAACGCACAATACACATCCAAGGTGGTCCAAAATGAAGTGATTGAAGTAGTTGGTGAATACATACGGAAGGAGAATACCAGAGACCTTGAAAATGATAATGCATTCTATTCTATCATGGCCGACGAGGTAACTGACCCCTATAGTAACCAGGAAATTTTGTCCGTGTGTTTGAGGTTGCTGACCGATAGACCTGCAAGGGTCCGCAAACTATTTATCGATTTCGTTTATCTAGAGAGGACGACTGGGGAATCAATAGCACATGCTATAACCAAGTGTCTCAGAAAAAAACACATTGACATATCCCAGGCTAGGGGCCAGAGCTACAATGGCGCAGCTTGCATGTCCTCGGCGAAGATGGGTGTCCAGGCACGGATCCGACAACTTTCCCCGCGCGCGTTATATGTTCACTGTAACAGCCACGTCCTCAATCTCAGTATTGCTAGTGCATGTAAACAACCCACCATCCGAAATAAGATAGACACTCTGAACGCCGTGTTCCTGTTCTTTGTCTCCGAAACGACAGAGGTTCCTCAAGAGAATTCTTGACAACATGGCGCCAACCACCCGCAAGAAGAAGCTTGATGGGCTGTGCAAGACCCGATAAGCATTACAGGAATATTTTCAATAAGTAAAATTTCACATAGAGTTAAAGCAATGAAAACTTAAGTTCTTTTGTAGGCAACAAGCATCAGCAACAACAACTCGGTATACTTACTGCACAACAATAAATGGCTCCATAGCTTACATGTTCCTATGAAAATATAGAATAATTATTGTTATAGTTCAGGATCAAACGGGGGATAAATATGTGAAAGTACATGTACAGGTAACTATATGTTGGAAAATTATATCAGATGATCAAATTAACAGATTAAGCAGTTCAAACTAAACATGGTATATACATATACATGAGTCACCATGATATAGATTCACAGTTGAACTGGTACACGAGCAGTGATATAGTGAATCATGAATGAAAATCATTTATAGATTTTAAATACACAATAATATATACACTCTGATCAACAAGACTGTCACTTGGTCTGTACTGGTGTTGAAGTCATAGAGTGACTCAATGGTGCAAAGCTAGCAGCACTAGCATTTAGTCTATGGACCGGGTCACCAGAGCGAGTACCACTGTATACTGATGGCAGCATAGTACCAGTTACATTTACTTTGAGCTTCAAGAATTTCTCAAGTTAAATGTCGCGAGCCAACGGAACAATGTTCTCTTGCAATGTTTTTACCATTATCCTGACATCATAGGTCCAGCAGCCGAGTATTTTGTGATCTTTGACAAGGTCCCTTGTTTTCTTGAACAATGCTGCTCTTTGTTTTGTCAGAGCTTCATTAATGAAGACTCTACACCTGTTGTTTTTCTGAGAAGAGTTATATAATTTCAGATTTTTTTTATTTCTGAACACAACAGCTCTGTCCCTGTAGCTGACAAAGTGCACTATGATATCTCTGGGCATTGTTTCCCCTTCACCCAAGGATGCTTCAGACCAAATATGGAACAAACCCTTTCATTCCTTCAGAAGAAGGATTTTAAAGAATTTGCTATATTTCCCCTATTGGGCCCTGCCGCTCAGCCCCCAGGGGGGCCAGACCCACTGTTTATACAAAATTTGTTCCCCTTCACCTAAGGATGCCTCTGACCAATTTGGTCAAAAACTGCTCAGTCATTTATGACTTCTAAATGGTACTGACCAATTTCAACAATTTGAAGATAAAATAGTAGCGTTTTTTAGGAAAAGTTGCCGGACGCCGCGCCATGGCATAAGATCACTTGCCCTTCGGGCTAAAAATAGACTTGTTTTAGAACTATGTAAATTAACGTGTCAAAAATGAAAATTTTCTCATTTGTAATGACATTTCACATTTTTCCTGCTTAAATCTTCAATAAAAAGAACAATTCTTTCTAGAAATATTGTAACATTTGGTATCCCAATAACAGTTGGAATATGTTGCACACGATGATATAAGTTCATAGAAATAGTGATATTTAAATGCTCTAGGAGGAATTGTATTACCGCACCTTTAACAACCACACAGTTGTAAGTCAATGAGGTCCCATTTATCCTAAAATGAATTCTGAAACTAACTGTTCCTGATTTAAGATTCCTATACCCATACTTTTTTGGATTTACCTTGTTTTGAAATTCCAAGCGGGGGCCGACGCCAATGTTAAATCTCCAAAGGCATTGACCCATCCTCAATATCCAGGGGTTACACTCACGTATGCTCTCTACACCCCTGGAATATGTCATAGAAAAAATGAAAGCTCTTTATTTGATTGGTGTCAGGTAAAAAAAAACCTGACCAATCATTTGTCTGATACTTGTCCTTTGAAGATTATAAAGGAGAGATGCCCGACTTCAAAGCCTGTCATTTTTTACGGTTATGCGGCCACCATGACCGCGAGATTCTTTTGATGTACACCTTGTGGATGAAACGAGAAGACTAGTTTGGTCTTCTGATGTACCAAACTAGTCTTCTCGTTTCATCCTCAAGCCTTCAATTTTGCTATGACATGTTACAGGGATGTAGAGAAGCGGTAGTGAGCGTAACCCCTGGATATCGAGGATGGCGTGGTTACCCTACCTTTGAAAGGACCTTACCATCACTGTTAAATTGTGACAGTTTAAGGATGTTATTGCCTGAAACACAATTAAATCTAGCTACTTTTTCATGTAAAGAAGAAATTCTAAATCCTTATCACTCGCATCAAAATTTTGTGTCTGTCATTCTGTGACCCCTTGTCCTGGCATGGATCGACGACAGAAAGAGCGGAATAAACCATGTACCGTAAAAACCCATGTAATTTGCGCACCTATGTAATTTGCGCAGGTACTTTTTGATGTTCAAGTTCCGAAAATTTATCTCTGAAAATGAAAGAAAAAACCGCTTGGGATTCTTAGGATTTTTGGAATTGGTTTATTATAAGTGAGTTCATAAGTATTGTTCACAGGTACAATGATGTTAAAACTAAGAAGAAACTGCGTAAAATGTGTATTTTGTCGTTTGTTTCCTTTGAAATATCTGATCACACACGTGTGCGCATATAGGCATACATCAATTTGTTTTAGCAATATTTTACACAAAAAAAATACTTGCTTACATTTTTTTTAGGTAATTCGATGTTTAGTAACCGCTGGTGCATATCTCCTGGCGAAAGACATAATTAGATACCTTTTATTGATCATAATTACGATCAGTGAAACTTCAGAGAAGGGCTCATCATGGCGGCTTGGGTATCATCACTTGAAACCAGGTCAGCGTAAATTATTGACACTTCTCAACACCACAGTCAATACAAATTACAATGCAGTAATTAGCTAACACTATATCTGTGATTACCCGTTAACAATAGCTCTACTGAAATATAATTGAAATGATTTGCAGTCGCGATCGACAGGACCGTGTTGTTGTTTTTGTTCACATTCACCAACACGTGGCGTGAATTACGAAGCCCTACTGCATTGTCATAACTACAGACTGATTTGACCGATAAGGGATTATAAAAAAATATGTTTATACTAGAAGCGTGGATAATCAATATATTCTCTTCAAATCTACTCCAAGGGGGAAAAATATCAAAGCAGACCATTTTTACGATGTTTCATTTAATAAATATTGAAATAATTTACGAGGTTATTATCAATCACGTGTTTACGTAGTAGTGTTAGACGCGAGATCTACATGAACGTGAGCCGGGGGAATACAATATTTATAAATCATTGAAGTTAAGTTTGAAGTAATCCAAAGGGCTTATTCGTAAAGATATATACATATATATATATATGTATATTTTTTCGTGGATATCAGATAACTATGCTATTATACAAGATTAACAATATCCATCCTAATATGTTTTATAACAATGTCTTTGTAGAATATGCTGCACTTGATTCTTGCAATGGATTCAAGAGGTGCAAATTTAAATACTTATATAGAGTCTAATGAGAGAGAGAGAG